AATTTTTTGATGTAATATTATTTTATTGAAGATTATGTGGTTGAAAAATAAAAGAAAAAATGTATTATAATTTCAATGGGGGCAAACGAGGCCTAATATATTATAGATTAGTTTCTATATATTGTTGTCCGAAATTATACACAATAATAACGAATTATGGTGAACTTATTTAGCACGGATAATCTTACCGATTTCAAGTTCCGATGATTCAGAACCCATCGAAGTTCTCTGGATGCTGAAGTTAGATGTTAATGAATTAACAAACCAGGACTCCATAACATCGAATCTTATCAATATTTTCTCTTTGCTTCCATCTTCATGACCTGCAGATTCTGTAAGAAATCGATCTATGATGTGCGATTCAATGATATCTTCGGCAATATATGCTGCTTCCCTGATTTTTCTCTCGATATCTGGTGTTATTTTTTGTGAAGACAAACGATTTCGTAAGAAGGTAACTTCTTCGACAAGTGATTCAATTTGCTTTTTCTCATCTAGGATCAAATATTGATAATCACGATTTAGGGTCTGATGTAGAATTTGAGCAAGAGAAAGAAGAGCAGCATAAGGCATCTCTGATATGTGCTCAAAGTAATGAAAGACAGAAAATTACAGCAAAATGTCAAGTGTTCGCTTTTTTATAGCAACATATTAAAGTAGTATTTAATGAAAGTAAATAGCTATTCGCAGTTTCTCAATTGAATAAGTGGCTAAAAAAAGGAGTTGACTAACCATTTAACGGACAGAGACTTCCCACCAAATAATGCAACTTGTATTACTTTACTATAATAATACAAAAGTGTGAAAATGCTTTGGTCCGCTTCTTGTCACTTGTGCTATCCACCCTTCTGCCACGAACGTCTAGAATCATAAAATGATGATTGCAACGTTTGATAAACTGAGAGAGAACTGAGAAAGATGATAAATCGTGTAAGATAAAATTGATGTAAAACTCAAGCTATTATTCATCTGAAGTCATGAGGCATATATATACAATTAACTAAGCTAGTAAGTTGTAAGTAACTAACTATATTCTAACTAACATGTAACTAACTAACTAACTAACTAACTATACAAACTGATAACAAATATTCAGTAATCATCCG